ATTTTATTTTTCTAATTAATATTTAAAAATAATTTTATTATTGTTATAAAGATAAACATAATTTATTTTTTTATACATACAATATGGATGTTAAATCGAAGCTCATTAAAAGATGATTAATTTGATATATTATACATGTAAAACTGATAACAACTACAAAAATTATTAATTTTTAAAATATATTTACAATTCAATGGTTATAATAAAAAATGATATTAAGATACATTAATACATGTAAATAACCATAAATAATCAATATATTTATGGATAATCTGGATCTAATTATTTTTTGATTGGAAATAAATTAAAATTTAACCAAGCCTAATTACGAAGCATGATTATTTGCCAAGTAGGATTCCGAAGTACCAGAAACAGCCACGTAGGCTCAGCGCATTCGGGAATTATATATAAGTAGGAGGTAGGATAGGATATGCCGACAAATGTTACAAAAATACTATAAAACTCATTAGTCACGGATAAATAAATTTTGGACTCAAATTAAGGTGCCAATTAATTACTTATTCTCGATTTTTTTTTTTCAAATAAAGAATATTATATTAAAGATGTGCAACAATTTTGATGGGCAATATAAATTAAAAAACAAAAAAAAAATGATTTGTTAAGGAATGATTTATGTTAGACATTAAGTTGATTCACAGAGACTTGATTTGTTTATTGTAATATATTATACATCAATAATTTATATATGTATTTTGTTATTACGAATGTGCACATTTTTCATTGGGAGAAATAATTGAAGATTCGTTAATTTGTTATTTAGTTTATTTTACTTTTTTGTATGTAGTAAAATATTACTGTATAATTCTTATAAGCCTTTTCATAACATAAAATAAATATTTGAATAAAAAATATTTTTTTATTAATTTAAATCAGTGATTAAATTTGCTAATATATGACTTCAACAAAATATAATATAATAAAATAAAATATAATTAAGTGTGTTAGAAAAAAGTGACCAATATTATGAAAGAATTAAGAGTAGAAATAACATTAAATATAAAAGTAGGACAATATTAATTGTAACATTTAAATAAAAGTGAAATAAAGTGAAAAGAAAAAAAAAATTTAATAATAGAATTTTGTACAGAAATCGGAGGAAAAGCAAAATATGTTTATTAATTGCTTTGCTAGCAATTATATATGGTACGTCAGAACCAACTATACTTTTGAATTCCAATTATATTGCTCTTATTTTTACATAAAATTATTTTCATTCATTTTATTTTAAATATTATTTTAATACAAACTCAAATCACATTCAAACCTAATTCAACCACTTTTTCAAAATTAACTATTATTAAAAAAAATCAATTAAACGTCAATTAAATCTATATTCAATCACACCCTTAACATTCGTCTCGACACTATTGAAATATTCACTTGTGAGTTGTCCCACATCATTTATACATGAAAAAGATACATAATTTAAAAGTTTATGGGTTACTCCTCCTTTCACCAATTGGTTTTGGAATGAAACCTCATTGGGACTTCATCTAGGTTTTTCCTGTCTTGGTGCGCTTCACATGCGTGATGACGGATCGATCTTTTGTCTATACTGGGTT